GGTTGCATTGAATCTTGTATTCTCTGTTCTTAAAATTTGAATGGTGTAAGTGTGTTCATTCTCTCTATGGGTAGCCCAGTCTCAGTCTCATCATTTTTGAGTAACAAGGGAAACTTGTGGCCACTACCTGAGGTTGTGTACTGGGTAAACCCCACTCTATGACCCTAGTAAGCAAAGGATCACAAGAAGATAAACCAGGCTAGGTTGTCCATAGCTGGACGACTCAAACCAAGAAGGCCAATAGGCTGCTCCCATTGGGAGTCGAATTTGTAACCTTGTGGATACCAAGTCAACAGCTTGACCAAATTGGCTGGGTTTGCCCCCTTCACCATTTGAATGAGGGTTACTTGTCAAGCTTTGTCTAATACTTTCTGCTGCATTCTAAAACGAAATGAACTTTTAACAAGATTTATCCATGAGTTATTGCACTCATCACTAGTTTACTGCAACGACTGCTCTGACATAATTATGCAATTTTCACTTGTCATCTGATTACATTTTTAGAGCATACAAATACGTTTAGTCACAACACATCAACATCCCAATCCAAGAAATAAATGTTAATTATGTTTTGTTAATGCAGTGACCGAATGCAAACATGGAATTTCTTATGCTTTCTGCTGTTCAGACTTGTGCGAAGTTCTCAGACATTATTTCAAATGCCTGTTTCACACTGCTTTCTTTTTCCATTGGCATACATTATAATCGTATTTCATTACTGCACCAACCATCAGGAAATTTACTAAATGTTCAGTTGGGAGGTGACTCCTACTGGTTAACATACAACATAGACATTAAACTTTGGAAACACATGCTTTCATGTTCATACTGCTCATATACATTTTAGTACGCAGTTTGAGTTTACTGTGTCCAATAACAGTTTCTAGCCTTTGTTTATCTTAGCCATTTTTCCTCACCACTTGTTATGAATGAATACTACAGATTGCAAGTGTATTATACTAAGAATGATGAATGAAAATGCAAGAAATCTGATTTTGTTTCTGTTCAAATACAGCTAGTTCAAGTTCAGATGAAAGTCTCGAGAAGGCCATTTCTTCTGATGGAGCTATCCCACTGGTTCCAAATTCAAATGATGTAAGCTTGTTGTATTGCTACCCGTACTCTTATGGGGTACAGTTGCCAGTCTTTGTTGGAAGCCTTTAATAATATACTACCAAATTTTTTGAGGAGAGAAATTTGCATATCTTACAATTCCTTCACTCATAAAATTGTAACTGACTACCTGAAAATCAAAGAGAAACAGTACCACCTCTGTAATTACCTTTTATAATCCTTCATTCACGTGGAAACCGACTCTTTCCTGCTGCTTCAAGTTCTCAACTCTGAAGGGGGAGACTCTTCTTTTGATTTAGTTGTTCTTGAATCATGATGTTAAAGAAATGTTGAATCACTTTTCCCATGCATTTCTTTCTTTTGTTAAACGAACTGTGAACCGGACAGCCCACATGATAGCTCGGGAGTCCAGTTCTATGACGGTTTTAAGGAGTGGTTTTCTTCCCCTCCTTCGTTCATTTGTAGTACTTTGTATATGGATCTTAGTTAATGAATTCCCCTCTTTATTCTAATCCTGGTACTTCATTCAAGGTTTTGCAACTTTTGATATTCAGTTTATATCTCAGTCTATGCTATTCTGCAATTTTTATGCAGTTGGGATCTTCAATAAGTTTAACTGGTGATGCACTCAACTTCAAGCAAATAATATACAATTTGCAATCGTCACCACATAAAGAACCTTTACTTATCTACACATTGCCATATTTGCACACACAATTTGTTTAATTTTCATGTGTTTTTGTTTTACAGGTTGAATCATTCCTGGCAGAATTATGTGATACAACCTCAATTGCAGAAATTGAACTAAAAGTATGCCTGTCTAAATCTTGTTTAATCATACTTTACTAAAGATTTCCTCATTCTCGTCTATGCTTATTTGTAGTTCCTAATGTTTATTCATATTCATCTTGTATGAAGGGATGAAGCTAGTTTCTTGCCCCCGGGGCATAGCTCAATGGTCGAAAGGTTGAGTGTGGCTGTAGTGACCCAGCAAATACCCGGGTTCGAATCCTCAATGGGGGAGGATCTCAGCCTTGGGGCAAAAAGCAAGCACTCAAACCCTGCCTCATTGAGGCACATCCCCCGATTTACCTCCTCTCACAATCCCCAGGGTTAGGGGGGTGAGGAGCCCTCAGGTTTAGGGTTTAAACCTATGAAGCTAGTTTCTTTTGTTATCTACTTCCAATACACCTTTATTTTGTATTTTTCAGCTTGGTGATTTCCAGTTATATGTGATGAGGAACTTAAATGGTCACATTACAACTTCGCATCCTCCAATTTCTGTTCCCGTTAGTTCCGCCCAAAACTTCGAGATGCCTAGTTCAAATGGCCCTGCTCCTGCACCATCTCTAGCCATCACGAAATTAGCATCATCAGATGGGATTGGGACATTGCTTGATAAAGCTGCAGATGAAGGTTTAGTGATAATTCGATCCCCTAGGGTGAGAGTTCGCTATGAATATTTTTCTGCAAATGGTACCCGTATGTTCCTGGCACTAAAAGTTTTTGTGGAATGACAGGTTGGCTTTTTCAGGAGATCTAGGACTATAAAGGGAAAGCGTGCACCTCCATCTTGTAAAGAGGTATCCGCCTTCGTATTTTAATTTTTCCTTGCATATATAGGGAGCTAATACAATGCCCGGTGTTCTTGGATAGTGAAATCTTTGAAATATTACTTATTGAACTTTGGCGACCGGTTTCTTAAAATCCATTCCAGCTTAAACAACATCTCGACTATCTCTTTTTCTTGTCCTCCTTTCTGTAATCTCTGCTTGAAGAAGCATTGCATGATATACACTCTCAAGTGTATGACTGTATGACCCTCTCAAGTCTCGAGTTCTCTGTTCTGGACATAAACTCTATAACCTTTATTACCACTTATTAACAGAAGCAACAAGTGAAGGAAGGCCAAGTAATCTGCTACATTGAACAACTTGGCGGGGAGCTCCCTGTTGAGGTTGGACTTTTATTTAAACATGATTTGACTATTGAGTTGGATTATGTCGAGATAATACAATGTTATCTATTCCCTTTTCTTTTCAGTAGTAAATAATCATGCCTTACTACTAATTCACTCGTTTCTTTTATGCCTCGAAATTTCTTCCAGTCTGAAGTATCCGGGGAGGTCATCAAAGTATTGGTAGATGATGGAGGTATGCTTCTTAGTCGTTTCATAATAATACTCGTATACCCCGTTGCTTTGTGATGTGATGTTACTTCTTTTGATTGAACAGCTCCAGTTGGATACGGTGATCCTATAATCTCAATTCTTCCTTCTTTCCCTGGCATTAAAATTTAAAAGCCTCCGCAGATGAAGTGAGTTCAGGCATGGAGATCAAAGTTTTCTGGCGTTGTAAAAAGCGGTTTTTTCCCATATGGATTATGAGATCACTGTTTTGCAGATTATGACATAACAAATGCTGCCTATGACATGCATTGTATTATTTTGAGGCTTCTCATTAACTCATTTTGGTTTATAATCCAACTGCAGAGTTTATTAGTTTCCTCATTATTTTTGATATTTTATGTTTGATTTAACAGCGTTGTTAAGCTATATAACTGTTTGATCCCTTAGGACGAGTTAGGTAGTCTCCAATGGCTTGGGATTTTATGCTAAGCACCAATAATAATAATAGTGTTCAAATAGGTCCTTGAATTGCATGCGAAAATGTAATTGGAGCATCTAACTTTAAAAAATTACCTTAGTTTCTTATTTACAAAAGACGAATTTTTTTTTTTTTTTTTTGTCCTTTGATTCCCACATCCAGGTGTAATAAGATGATAAATGCTTGAATAGGTAAATTATGGTGACTCAGTATCATATTGAGGGAGAGGATGAGTTCTAATGTTGATAAAGAGTCCATCACATTAAGGGTGTGTTTGGTTCGCACATAGGAATCGGAATCGGAATGGGTATCAAATACTTGGTAATGGTAATGGGTTTTGATGAACGTATTTAACATGTTTGGTAGTAGGGTGGAATGGGAATGGTTACTAATAGTAGTGCTTGAAAATGAATAAGGGAATGAAACCCTTATTGTATTTGGGTATGGATTTTCCAATTGATGGGGTATTCGAAACCCATAGTAGTATTCTAAAAACCTATCAACCAAACAACAACAATCACTTTCATACCCATTCCTATGGGCAAAACCCACCAACCAAACACACCCTAAGTGTTAACTCTTACAGTGTGGTTGTCAAGGTGTTATTCTTCTTGCAAGGTGAATTCAGGTCCACCGAGTAAGTTGTGCTCATGTTACTAGAAGGTGGACCTAGGTTCACAGAATAATTTTTTGCAAAAGATGGGGGTGTAGGTTTTTTCTTGTTTTTAAATTTTATTTAAAATTTACAATTATTTAAATAAATATAAAATAATTTTGTAATAGAGATAACCCTCACAATTACATTTTTTTTGTGTGTATATAATTCAGTGATTTATTTGAGAATTGAGTTAATTTCATTTTTGTCTTAAATTTATAGGTGACGGTCTACTTTTAGTCTTTTTTTTTTTATCTGAACATTCATTTTTGGTCCTAGTATTATTGTGACATGACCAATTTTGGTCCTCTACCAATCAAATTGTTAAAATTTCGTTAAATAGAAGGACATTTTGATCGTTTAATACAAAAGTGCGTTGACCCGTTATATTTTTATGTTAATTTTTTTTTAAAAAAAAAATCATAATTGAAGAGCAAAATGTCATTGTATTTAACGAAATTTCAATGATTTTTTTTTATAAAAGTTTTTTTTATAAAGGATTAAAATTGATCATGTCATAATAATACTAGGACTAAAAATAGATATTTTAATAATAAAAAAAAAAAAAAGACTAAAATTGGACTACCACCTATTACCTATAAATTAGGACAAAAAATGAAATTAACTCTTTGAGAATTATTACAACTCAAAAAAAAACCGCAGTGTACAGAGCAGCTCTATATATAGTGTACATTGTTGACGGACTTTCACATGGATTGACGCCCTTTGTAAAAGTCAAGTCATCTGGCGCATTTCGTCGAACATTTGGTGCTCACCTCTCCTGGCGATTTGAAGTTTCAGGCGCGGGAAATCATTAGGTCAAGAATTTTGAACTTTCGTCTGGCGAAGAAATGGGAGATTATCCTGATGATGATGATGAATCTAGGTCTCGCCAAAAATCCAGATCCTCTGAAATGCATCATCGTCTTCCAGTTCATACTTCGGATGGGGGCATGCGTTTCGATGCACAAGAAGCATGCCGTCGCTTTAGCAGGGGCCAATGTGCAAAGGGTGAACTATGCCGTTACGCGCACGTTATCGGGAATGTCAGGGGAACTGAAGGCGAGAGAGGCCATTGGGCAATGAGTCAGAGGAGAACCGAAAGGGTGAATTTCTGTCAGTTTTTCCTTGGTGGTCTGCCATGTCCGTACGGTAGCAAGTGCCGTTTTCTCCATGAAGCTAGCGGAAACCAGGGTGACTCGAGCATGTGCAGCGAGTTCAGGGAGAGCTCTGCAATATGCATTGCAACTAACAACGATGAACGCAGATCGAAGAGACTTAATGTGCGTCAGAATCCCAATCCGGTCTGGGCGAAGACAAAGCTTTGTTTAATGTGGGAGAAAATGGGCAGCTGCTGGTATGGTTCCACCTGCACCTATGCTCATGGAAATGCAGGTATCTGGTAACATCTTTATAATTGTTTTTGTTTCTTTGGAGCTATTGAAAAACTGGCCGATATTATCCAAGAGTTTGTATTAGATCAATAGGGATTTCTACCAAGAGTCAAAACTTGGCTGCTAGGTCAAACAGCTTGACTAATATGACTGAGGTTGGAATTGTTCCTGTAAACCTCCAATCACTATCCGAGGGAGATTGCATTAAGTCAATAAGCGAGTCGATTCCAGTGAGAGTCGAAAGTTAACAACCTGACCAACATGGTTGGGATTGGAGTTGTTCCCTCTATCTAGAAACCCCCAACCACTATCCGAGGAGAGTGTGCATTAGGTCAATAAGTCACTCCTGTGGTTACAACTTGGGTGGGGTTGACACTTAATTCTCTGTTATAATAGCCTTAATCTTTGTTCAGTTGAAGAGTTTCTGAACCTTTGGTGCCTGACTGCCTGTTAATCTGGATAGAACTGCGCAATATTGATTACCCAAATCCACTGGACTCTTCAAGAGGCCATGACGTCGATACTGCATCAAAGAATACAGAATCTGGGACTGTGCAGCATGGCAAGCAGTTCTTGTTCAAATGGACAGATGTCAGGAAGGTCAGCCAAGTCTATGCTGATTGGATAGATGATGATGATGATGCATCAGGCAAAGATGGAGATGGTAACTAACTGAGATTATTAAGTATGCAAATGGAAACACTGTTTTTATTTTTTAGGTAGTAGGAACATATGTCTTTGCCTGCACTGCATTTTTGTCTTTTCACATTAGGAAGCTGCTTCAAGTTTTGACATATGCTGTTTTCCTTGTTGCATAGAATCTGTATATAATTGGGGGATAAACCTAAACAGCAATACTTGAAGGGGAATTCATATAAATGAAAATAGTTTTTGCTTCTTGAGTTGTTGACAGGAGCCATGGTATATTTACTGTCTCATCTTTGACAATTAACAAAGTGTTCACTTTGTCTGACACAACTTTAGCTCTATGGGCTTGACTGACTGATGCTATTAACAGTTTGTTTCAATATCTTACATTTGAAATAAAGAACATTACTTTACACCCACTCCACTCATACCCCTCCACAATTGCTCCAAAACTATTATCATCTGTGCACACTAGGGTTCTTTACATCTTTCAGCAGACAGCGCGTACTTAACAGTTGACCGTGCCAATGCATCCAGTGGGTCGATGCATTTCTTGAGCAGGGGATCATCCGGAGGCAAAACTTCGCACATGTCATCTGAGGCGATTATCACAGTGTTGACAGCTCTCACCAAGAGCACCTGTAACGCGATTCTGAACAGGTTTTGTGCCCCTTCTATGTCCTTTCTGGTTAGGGCTTCCACTGCAGGGATAATTGTGTGTTCTATGGTTGCCTTATCTGGTACTACAACCTCAAAACCCTACAGGATTACTAAAAAATTTCAGGAACCCTTCAACAATTATACCTAGACTAGATCATAACTTGTTCAAAAACAGTGATTATAGTTAGCAGAAGAACTAAACAAAATTTTGTCAACGATTACTATAAATTCTCGATCAAATGTTGCTGCATATGAGAAAGAAGTATTCATCATTATTGAGTGATCAATATTATAGTCTAAAACAGTGCAAATAATGGGCTTGCTACCTCACTTTGAAGCTTTTGCTGGTAAAAAGCAGCGGTGAGATCAGTATTGGTAGCCAGGACGCCAATGCGCAGAGGGCTTCCTGCTTCAAGAGGCCTCAGTTTAGCTTCCTTGAGCTCCTTGGCTACACACTCACCCATATGCAGAAAACAAACCGAGGATCCATCTGCAACATCCTCGTACCATGAATGTGCAATGTGGCACGGCATAACAATGCACTGCGCTCCAGACCTCTCAAGAAACATCCTTTTACGCCTCAAACTGTCCACGATTGAGCTGTGATCCCTCTTAGGTTGCCTACTTCTACCACTACCGGTAAGGAAAGGGAGTGAACTCCTTTCATAGGATAAGATCTCCTTGCTCAGCAGTGGATCAGAGCAGAGGACAAAAGGGAAACCATTTTCCCTATCCTTTAACCCGTATTTCACAAGCTTCTTAACAAAATTCAGAGTTGAATCCACAGACACTCCTCCAATGATCCCTACAGCATTTTGTTGAGTGAGCAGAGAAACGCCTGACGCCTCACCGCCACTACAATCTGCATCTGAGGGAAAACTCTTCCTGGAGTTGTTTATATTACCACTTTGTTCAGTTTTGGGCATAATTGAAAAAGGGGACATGGCAAGAACTTGCCATCTCCTTGTTCTAACCTCACTCCTTTGAACACTCTTGCAACCCACCATATGTGATGGGTAGTTCAGTGAATGGAAAGACATTGCCATGCTCAAATATATAAAACTCACAACTAAACCTAATTCCCAAATATGACAGATAAAACTTCTCTGTGCAAGAAAACCAATTCCAATTTCAATTTCAATTACCTCCTTGAAGATGCTCCTTGGAAGATGCAAACACCAGAGGTGTTCGTTCAAGATTCCCAAATTTCAACTCAAATCCCAAGTATAAACCCTAAATTTCACAATTGTGGGGCAGTAGAAGCAGAGGGTACACCTCAAAAACTGCAGACTTTGTTGCAAAAACTAGAAACAAGGAAAATCCACCACAGTAACAAAGTAAAACACTGAAAACCCAGTATCTGTATGTACTGATTCAAGAAGGTTCCATAGCCAAAATAACAATAATCACTTAAAAATGAAAGATAAAGATCAGAAGAAGAAATTATGGAAAAGCAAGTGGGGGGTGGGCTCCAAAAATGCAACAGCCAATTACAGGAGATCATTACTGGGGGAGAGTTGGTGTAAAAAGGAATCTCTTTGCCACGTTTAATCAGTCGGTACAGAAAGGACTACTTTCTGTAACAAGTAACTAGAAGACAAAAATCTTTGTTCCTTTGTGAAGATCCTTCGTCACTTGTTCTTCACTACCACTGCTTCTCAGCATGGTGTGCATGTTTTATTGTTGGACTTGGGACATCATTTGTGGGCCCTTGGTTTCCACAGCCTAGTATGGCCAACTTGTGTTCAAACCCAACTAAAATTAGCCCAACCTTGGTTCCAAGTTTGACTCTCTATGGGAGCAGCCTATTGGCCTTCTTAGGTTGAGTCGGTCAGCTATGTGTAATTCAGGTACGTTTACCTCATTGTAGTTCTTTGCTGACTATCGTCACAAGGCAAGCTTTACCCAATATACAACTTCGAGTAGAGACTTCAAGTTTCCATCATCATCAAAAAAAAAAAAAAAAAAACAATTACAATGCATTCTAATGCGCCAAGTAGCGCTATGTCAATTTATACCGGATATAGTCATCCTTGGTGATGCGGCTGGATACTGTGAGGATAAGTGGTAGAAAGTATTTGATGTAGATCAAATAACATATAAGATTGTACTCGGTAAACTGGAGTAGAATGGTATGATACCAAATGAGAATATTGATTTGTTTATTAAAATTGAGCTAATAGCAGCAGGACAAACTAATTGTTTTAAAGTTACAATGTTACATTTAAAGATCAAGTGTTTTTTTTAAAAAAAAGTAAGATCAAGTGTATTTGTGCTTTCTTTTACTAAAGATTCCAAGTGTGAGGAAGAGCTTTCTCACATCCTTTCTGATTGAAAAGAAAGCAGAAACCAAAGCAACAAACATTGCTGGGAATATTAACACACTTGTTGAAGCATCTTTGCCAAAGATTGCTTGTTTCTTGACACCCCAAATGATAAGCAGCAACCCAAAGAGGCTAAGCCTCCCTGACTTCTTAATCACACCCAAGACTGCCCCAGCAACACACAAGTAACTCCCTGCCAAAATCTGGTTCGAACAAAACACCACAAACACAATTACTTTTAAGGTTACATTCTGTCGACATAATTAGCTCTTAAGTCAGCTGATAACTAAACGTGATGTGTGAGAGTTACATTTTGTCAGCTGTTAAGTCAGTCGATAACTAAACATGATGCGTGAGAGTTACATTTTGTTTGACATAATTAACTGTTAAGTCAGTAGCAAGATAACTAAATGTTATGCGCGAGAGTTAAAGAAGTAGACGCACCTCTAGATGATTGAGGCCCAATGTTGGAAGGGTTTGTTTGGAGTTGATGAAGTTATGGATATGGAGAAAGTTGTCATAGCTTGGGATGGGCTTCTTGTTGACAAGAGCTTTTGCCATGGCTCCTGGATAGAGAAGTGGCTTTACCATAGCTGCAGGGAGGATTTCACTGCCAAATAGTTGATATAATGTGACTTCTATAGGTGTTTTGCATGTGCCAATTTTGCATCGGAATCTGCAACATCAAAACCTCAAACTTTCAAAACAGTTAATTCAAATACGTACTAGAAATCCATTGAAACTATTTCAAGCTATAAATAATATATGAAATATTATATATATATATATATACGCATACTGTTTAGTGAGTATTTTGATTTCCTATTAAGGAGAGTTGGGTATCTGATTTATCTGACCCATTAGCGTCCCTAATTTCATCAAATAGATTAGATTTACATAATTGGAGAGTGGTATAACATATGCAAGATACAATTAAGATTAACTAAGAAGATTAAAGAATATGAGTATCTTAATTATATGGTAAAAGGGTGAGAAATCATTACCTGAAAAGAGGAACCTGCAAAATAATGACAAGAAAATAAATTTGAGATGCGATTCGAGAGACGAATTTTGCTTGTTTCTTAGAAGATGAAGCCATGGCAGAAAAATGTACTATCTGTCTATCTCAATGAAAGAAAAATGTATAATCATTGACATTCTTAATTTCGTCAAATAGATTTAGGTTTTACATATGCAAAATACAATTAAGATTAAAAAGTATGAGTATCTTAATTATTTGGTAAAATGTGAAAAATTATTACCTGAAAAGAGGAACCTGCAAAATAATAATAAGAAAATAAATTCGAGATGCGATATGAGATACAAATTTTATCCGTTTCTTAGAAGACCACGCCATGTCAAAATAAAAATAGTACTATCAATCTATCTATCTCAATGAAAGAGGAATGTATAATGAAAAACATTTATTAGAATACCAAATACATAAATTAATCTTAGAATTTTACAATTTGTATAAACTTTTAGGCAACCCCATTACCTTATGCAATGAAAGCAAGGATGTGAAAATTTATAATAACACGAAAATTACGTAGCGAATCAAACTTTCTTCACTTGGATAGTTTTCACATTAAGAAAGTTGAATTACTTTGTTCTATGATTTGTAAATTATTATACTGATTTATCTGATATATATACTTTCAAACAATGATTATGAGTTTCTCTCATTAGAAAAAACGTTAAAAAAGATAGAAGAATGAATTAATTTAACAAAAATACTAGATGCATGTATTCTTAAAATTATACTCTCAATTTGTACTCTTATTTATGTTTAAATTTGATTGAAGGAAGAAAGAAAAAGAATGAATAAACATCATGGGCCCTACTAAATTAAACAATCAAATCATGTCATATTATAGAGAGTGTAAAATGAGAGTATTTTTTTTTTGAAAGTAAATTTATAATTACCCTTAATTTAAATAATACGACTTTATATATGTTGAAAAAAAGACAAAAAGGCTAAGGAACCTGTATTGTTCGGCACATTGTCCTATAATGGAGTTTAATCGTTATTGTACGCACTAAATTAGGTCCGGTTTGGTAAAATAGTTAATTTATTAATTAATTTTGATTTATTTGACCATTATTAGTTGTATGACTTTGTTAAATAATTAATATGAGTGTTTAATTAATTAGTTTTTTGTAATAATTTTTGCTCTAAAATGTTAAAACTCAAAAAGTTATTCAAAGTAGCTTTTTCAATTAGCTTATTTAAGGAAGTCATTTGTATGTAATCAGCTAACAGCTAACAACTAATTTACCAAACACTTTTCTACAATCAGCTAATGTTATCAACTAGTTAAACTCACTAACCAAATTAGCTAACAGCCATTTACCAAACACCTCCATTGTCTCACAAACTCATCTAACGGGAGTTGAACCCACTACTACCGACAACAATAGTTATTGCATGGACCGTGGTCCACATAGCTGTGTAGACTATGGTCCAAAAACGATGTAGTTTTGTTTAATTTTATTTTATTTTTTGCGCGCCCAGTTGCAACATACATTTTTATAATTCATAACGTACATTATTCTAAGACATAGTGTACATTATTCTAAAGCATAATGTACATTATTGTAAAACATAATGTACATTATATTACCCCATGTGTTTTATTATTCTAACACATAATGTACATTATTCTAATACATAATGTACATTATTTTTACTCATAATATTCACGACGATGTTTTTGGACCATGGTCTACACAATAATTTGCCAACTGAAATAGATTAGTTTTAGAAAAAATTACACTTTTCGTCCTAAATTATAAGATAATTGTAGAATTCGTCCTTAAGTGTTGATTTTACTCACTATTCGTCTTTAAGCTATCATTGGAGTTGCACTTTCCGTTCCTTTACTAACAAAACATTAGGGACAGAAAGTGAGTACTAGAATTTAACTTAGAAACCAAAACACTGCTGGAAATCAGCGATTTTCCGACTACCTCAAAATATAGTCGCAAAACGTGAATTTTTTTCCTTTTTTCGTCAAGTGCTAGAGTGGTCGGAAATTTCCGACCACACGCAAAGGTGGTCGGTAGTTTTTACGATTTTTTTCCAGCCGAGTTCGGAAGAATTACGACCACCTTTGTGGTTGGAAATTTCCGACCACTCTCTTGGCAAGTTGTCGGAAATTGCCAACCACTCTTTGGAAGTGGTCGGAACGCCCCTGCGTTAATTATTTTAAAAAATTGACTTTTTTTCGGACCACCAACAGGTGGTGGTCAGAAATGCCTTTATATTTACCCCTGCGCAATAGACTTTCTGTCCAATTTTCATACTTTTTCTTTTACCCCTTTCTACATATTTCTTCATTTTTGCTGGATGTTTTTTGCTAAACCACTCACAATAGTGTAGAAATCAAGCAAGGTATGTATAGATATACTTAGAACTTCTATTTATGTCATTTTTTTTTTTTTTTAGATCTAGCTAGTTTGAACCTTTTTGTACTTTTTTTTTTTTTTTGCTTGTAGGAGATTTTTAGCTATAGTGTTGAAATCAAGCTAATGTATGTATACATATTTTTAGAATTTCTATTTATGGCATTTTTTTTTTTTTTTTTGTAGATCTAGGTTTAATTTTTTGTATATATTTTTGTGAATACATTTTAAATTTATTTATTTAAGTGTGTGCATGTGTGTGTGTGTAAAATTTATTTATTTATTTATGTGTGTGTGTTTAGAATTATTTGTATATTTATGATTTTTTAATTTTGAATTTTAATTTATATGTTGTGTATTTATTAGTATGTTGATAATATAATTATTTATATATGTTGTATTTGTATTATATATACTTTTGCAGTTGATTTACATGGCTAATATACCTGAACATCGAAAATGGATGTACAACCGATGGTTACCAGGAAGAAGGAGGTACACTAATGAGTTTTTAACGAGTGTTGAGAAATTTACAAATTATGCAAACACACTTCATGTTTACGAGGTTTCAATGGAGATTAGGTGTCCATGTAGTAAGTGTAGGAATTGTTGGATATTGGTGAATAAATCGATACACAAAATATATATAAAAAATATATAATTGTCCCGAAAAATGGAATTTAATTTATACAAAATTAATTCCAACCAATTTTGGTACGAAACCAAAATTACATATATATACAACGTATATATATATTAACCAAATAGGGATTTATTTTATCAAAATAATCCCACCACAACTAGTACGAAACTGTTACACGGGACTTAATTTCCAGAAATTAATCCCACCACAACTAGTACGAAACTAGTACAAGGATTTAATCTATCCGAGATTAATCCTATCCCTAGGTCCGAAACCAAGAACAAAAAAAACAAGATACGGGTTTCTAACCTGAGGTTTCAACCCAACGCGAAGAAACAAGAAGAAGCATAGGAAGCCCGAGTTTTGTGTACACACACTCTCCTTAAAACCGATTCGCCACCTCCCGAGGGTGCTAGGATCGTTGTGGCGTCAGTCTCCCTGGATAAAACGGACTACGACTTTGGCGTTCGAGCACTCCAACCCAAAGCCCGGCGAACTAGAACACAAGTTGAGCACTCCGATGTTTTATGGAATTATGTTGGCAAACAATTTTCTCTTTGAAACCAAGAATGACAGTTGAGAGAAAAATAAATTGTTTTGAGACTTTCAAAATCATGTGAAAAAACATTCTGCCAACATAACAAGGTTATATAGGAGAAGGGATTTAATAGCATCATCATGGCACATTAACCAATATAAATCCAAGATTTAATAATTGGATAATAACGTTTGAAACGGTCGTAATTATTATCGTAATAATTCCAACGGTCACGAACTTAATACGCGATTAATTCGTACCGACCACAACGACCCATTTCAAAATATCTGAGTGACCGAGAAGTCCGTACAAACCCGAAGGTTTAACGAATTGGGACTGAAAATCACACCCGGTGGTTCACACGCACCGAAACGGTGCAGCACGAATCAATGCATATAGCATTGACTCGTGCCAACTCATGTTGCTGAGCACGAAAGGAGCTCATTACACGAAAGGAGCTCATCACACGAAAGGAGCTCTATTTCCAAAAGCACGAACTGTGCTTAAATCCCAAATCATTAGTTAATTAAGCTTTCAAGCTTAATTACCCCTCTTAAGCTTAATCTTTCAAGCTTATAACGAATCAAGCTTGATAACCAAATTACGAATTGCTAAATTAATTAGCAATTTAGCTTAAGAGTTCGGCTTCTCTAAAATAGGTTCACTTTGAGAATCAATTTCTCATTCACTTATTACCCATTTTGAGCGTACATTATATCAAATTCTTCGTCTCACTACGAAGAACCCGAATCCACTTTGACCCGACCCAAATCGGAAGTGGATCCCACATATATTTGTACCACAAAATAATCACTCAAAATGCCATTTTTGCTAAAAATTCCAACAGGAATATAATAGAGTACACTAGTCTAAAGATGATGTTCGTGTTTATTTGTATAAGAAGGATTTTGAACCGAATTATTGGGTTTGGACGTGTTACGATGAGCTTCCCCCTTCAATACAACCGCATATGAATGAGGGCCCTAGTGAAAATAATTAGTATGAACATATGATTTTTGATGTATCTGGTCCATCATTTTTTCCACTAAATGCCGAGAATGGCCAAGATGAAGAGCCACATAGTAGTGCTAAAAACTTATATGATTTGTTAAATGCTGCGGGACAACCTTTATCAATGTTAGTGAAGTAATAGAGCTGTCATATACATTGAGGATGATGAATATCAAAATAACTTTTAATATACCGCACTAGCAATGTATCATATATTTCAGTATATTAACCATTTGATGGGTCCCGATAATCGAGTACCTACCAGGTATTATGATGCAAAAAAAATTACTTATAAAGCTTGGTCTTGACATGAGAATATTTATTGTTGTGTAAATAGTTGTATGTTGTACTGTAAGTCTGAAATAAATGACAAGCACGGTAAGTTTTGTGGTGAGCCAAGATTTAAACCACGCCCACATGGATGTACTCGTGCAAAAGAGGTGTCATGCAAAAGAATGCATTACCTTCCTCTCATCCATAGATTGCAACATTTGTATGCATCACATAGCTCTGCTTCACACATGCGGTGGCATTATGAAAATTGCCGCGAACCTGGTGACGGTAAATATGTTACCGGTAATAATAATATCAGAATAACGGATTGTAACGATAGTTGTATTGCCTTAGTTTCAGTATAGAAAATACAGTGTGTCTTTGTCCAGAGTATTGAACATGTCCCCTCAAGCTGAGGGGAGCATCTACTTATACAAAGGTGCCAACGGTAACAACATGGGACATAAATGGGGAGCCAAGCCTTTAATTCTCTCTCATCAATGGTGGCATCGATGGTGGCTTCAATTGCAATAAAGGTGACACCTGTTGGAATTCTGTCCGTTGGAGTTTTGCCCGTTGGGTCTCCATGTGGTGCCGGGTCAAATATGGCGCCGGGTCAGATGCCCACTTATGATCCGGGTCGGGTGCCAGCCCTATTATCCTGTCACCTGGTATTATGTGTCATCCTTCAGATGGTGAAGCATGGAAGCACTTTGATATAAGGTTTCCTGATTTTGCAGCAAATCCTAGAAGCATGAGATTAGGCTTATGTTCTGATGGATTTTTCCTTTTGGTTTCAATGCGAAGCCGTATTCTTGTTGGCCTGTTATGGTTGTTCCGTGTAATCTCCCACCTTCAATGTGTACGACTACACCATCCACATTCTTAACATGTATTATTCATTGAAAAAAGAACTCAAAAGCCAATATTGATGTCTATTTGCAGCCTTTAATTGATGAACTTCAATTGTTATGGGAAACAGGTGTCTTAACTTATGATTCATCATTGAAACAAAATTTTATGATGCGAGCTGCATTAATATGGAACATCAATGACTTTCCTGCGTACGGTATCACTGAAACAAAATTTTATGATGCGAGCTGCGTTAATATGGACCATCAATGACTTTCCTGCATATGGTATGTTATCTGGATGGCAGACAGCCTGAAAACTAGAATGTCCTTATTGTCTTCAGTATTATATTCTAAATCATTTTATTTGAAAAATGGTCATAAAACATGTTGGTTTGATTGTCACCGTTAATTCCTTTCAATGAATTACTCTTGGAGGAAGAATCGAGATGCCTTCGTCAAACGACGGGTAGAGAAATCAATACCTCCACCAATTAGGACAGGGAATGAGTTTTTTCATTGTTTGGAAAATATCCCAAGAATTATTGATGATCCAATTGATCGCATTGAGGGATTTGTACAGTCACCAAGCATAGTTTGGTCCCTAGCTTTAATATTCTATCGGCAGCTAACGGAAAGCTTAAAAATAATTTAATAATAGAAGGTTAAAATAGAAATTTCAAATTATAATCCCCTTCTTATGTTGAAACCCATTGCGCAACCGTCATTATTTTCTTCTTATATCTAACGGAAGTAGGAGATTTCAGAGCTTGGGATGAAAAAGACCTTCGATTGTAGGTATAAGAAGAAAAGAATGACTGTTGTGCAACGAGTTTCAACATAAAAAAGAAGATTATAATTTGAAATTCCTATTTCACCCTCTATTATTAAATTGTTTTTAAGTTTTCACAAAATATTAACGCTAGGGACCAAACTCGCCAATTTGCTCATAACTGAGGGACTAAACTCGAAAACGGCCATAACTCAGGGACTGAATCGAAACTTGGTTATAACTCAGGGACTGAAGATGCAATTTTCCCATATATATATATATATATATATATATATATATATATATATATATATATATATATATATATATATATATATATATATATATATATATATATATATTTATTTATTTATTTATTTATTTATTTATTTATTTATTTATTTATTTATTGGGAGGGAGAAGAAAACGGCGTACTGTATCATCTGTTTGGCCTTTGGGGTCTTCAAAGTTCCAAGAACCGTTTAACAGACAGAACAAAAATGGAATCTTATTTGAAAATGTAATCTGAGGGTCACATGTTACGTAAGTTACATTTCGGCTGATGTGGGTCACATTTTCCTAGGAGAAATCATTATTCATAATTCATCCCATCAACAATTATTGTCAACTTGCAGCCTGCAAGAGATTGAATCATATTCTGTTGCACTGCAACTCCAACGTTTTTTTTTGAGAAAGCAACTCCAACGTTGTATTCTCAATTCTTAAACTTAAACTATGCTGCTAATTAACAACCTTAGACCACCACCATTGATGGTATCTCAATTCTGGTGATATGTGGAGCACCCTTCCTTTTGATCCCCTGTCTGTCATCTTCTCTTATCTCTCCCCGGATTCTTTTGCCCGGGCCAAGTCTGTCTGCAAGAACTGGTGCTCCTGTGCCAACTCTGCCGCCGCCGCCCCCCTGCCGCCAGAGGCACGGCGGAGTCAGCTGCCATGGTTCATTGCTTTGCCCACACGCTTCCAGAAGCTTGTCTGTTACGCCCATAACCCACTCAATAACTACTGGCACACATTACCGCTGGATTTCATCCCGTATCCATTTCGCCCCGTTGCTTCCACCGGTGGAGGTCTTGTGCTACTACGCCTTGCTAGTAGCACCACCCTTCAGCTAGCCATCTGCAATCCTTTCACCAGACAGCTCCGCCACCTTCCGATGCTAAACACCCCAAGAACAAACCCCGCAGTTGGGGTGATAGAGTCCCCCAATTCAAGCTATAGAATCTACGTGGCCGGAGGGATGTCGGAAGCAGCATCGTACGTTCCAACGTTGGAGATATATGAATCGGGTGGCGACAAGTGGAGGGTGATTGGAGCAATGCCAATGGAATATGCTGTGAGGCTGACAGTGTGGACTGCAAATGAGGGTGTGCATAGTAATGGAGTTCTGTACTGGATCACTTCTGCCAGGGCCTATAGCATAATGGGATTTGAAGTTGAGACTAAAAAATGGAGACAGTTGAGTGTACCAATGGGTGACAGGCTTGAATTCGCAGCATTATTGGTGGCAAGAAAGGGACAGCTGAGTGTTGTGGGGGGTGGGGGAGGGGTATGGGTGTGGGAGCTTGGGGAAGATGATAAGTGGAGTGTGATTGAGACAATGCCATTGGAGTTGGGAATGAGATTGTTGGGAGGGAATGGAAGTTGGGGAAATGTTAAGTGTGTAGGAGGGATTGATGGGAGGGCAGTGTATTTGTATAGAGATGTGGGAGAAGGAATGGTGGTTTGGAGGGGATGTGTGGAGAATGGTGGATGGCAATGGTGTTGGGTTGAAGGGTGTAACAGTTCAGTAAGAGAAAACCAGTTGCACAACTTCCCCATCAAAGGGCTATTGTTGCATCCTAATCTCCGCCTTTGTGCATAAATAAGAAATCCGACTGGGTCTTGATGGAATTAGTCTCAACTCGCGGGATGTGAATACCTACCTGTGCAGTATGGAGAAAAAGAACAGTCAAAACTATATATTCGTTGTAACAATAAGATGAGTGAGATTTTGTTTTAGATTCCCGGTACAAGTATTTTACCATTTACAATTTACAAGTTACATTCCTTTCCACACAATTGGTTAGAGGGATTGAATCCCACTTTTCCTGTCCCCAACAGTATGATGATAAAAACAGTAAAACATCTTAGGGGGAAAAGGTTGTATGAACATACATATATTGTAGCATGTAGAATTCACAGGGCAGATCTTCAATCAGAAGTGCAGATAGAACGACAGCAAAGATATCATGTGGAGGGGCAGCCGGGAAGTTCTTTAGATTCACTGCAGTTGCAAATGCTGTCAAACACAAACACAAACACAATAACAATAACAATAATAATAATAATAATAATAATAATAATAATAATAATAATAATAATAATAATAATAATAATGTAGCCAAGATTTTGCAGTGTTCTGAAATATAAGTGAAGAATCTGACATTCTTCATACAACAAAAGGGGCATTCAATTTCCTAGTATTACTCTCAAGTGTTCTCAGATTTTGCACAAGTCATCCCAATGGCACAGTGACAGAAGACTAATTTATTGGACAGAAACCGACACTGAATCACAAAACTAATTTTCGGGAGATTAGTGCATTCAACTGGAGAATAAAAGTGAGTTTTGAATCATTGGCCAAATTTACAAATGCAACTAAACAGAGCTGGATCATTCAAAAGTTCATTTGTACAAGTACATAGAGTTCCTTTAATAACCTCTCGAAATCATTGCCACACAAGTTCTCACCATTTCTACAATATAAGGTCCTGAGCAGTGTATGTTGGAGCAAAGGGAATTCTCATTGCTACACTATGCATCCTGAGACAAAATAAGCTTACTGGGATAGTTTTTGAGAACAAGATAGAAAATAATGGAGAGCGAAGAAACCCTTGATAACAAAGATCATTAACAACAACAAAAACAAAAACGATAAAATCTTAAATCAGAGATAAATCAATATATTGAAGTTTAGTTAACCATCAATAAGAACATTGTGGTACCTCAACCATAGACTTCCTCAATATCATCACTGCAAGCTGCAAGAACTTTTTCCCACATGACATGTACATCAACCCTCTGTAATAGTCAACTATCTTGTACTCGTAGATCTATTTTTCCCCAAGTATATCTCAGATCCTCAGAATGGGTGCTCCACCAGACATACAAGAGAGTGATGGGATTTGGGTGTGAGCCAAAGAGAACATGTTTATAATGTTGGGCTATTTTTCATGCTCTTTTTCCCCTACTTTTTTTGGTACAGATGACAGTCAAATTAGTAAGAAACCAAGACTTGAGCCTCTGCAAAGTACTACTCCATATATATGAGAAACAAGAAGAAAAGGGTCACATTAGTATTTTCAAGTCATTCCAGCAGACATGACCCACATGAATATGCTGCTAAACTGATGAAGGAATAAGCTACTGAATTGCTGTGGGGGACAGTTCTGAAATTTGCGATACAAACAATGATTTTAAAAATGTTTTCTAATTCCCAAGAAAGCCAAACACATTGCCACCTTAGCCCTCTATACTTTTATAGTATACTGAGAGATTTCTATATTACACAGTAAGATTGAATGAGCAATAGAGAGAAAAGAACGTCCACTATCTACCATTTGATGATGCTTAAATCTTGGTTCACAGTCCTTTGAGAAAAAAGAAAAGGCATTGAACCAATGGTGTGCAGCTGCAGATCTAAACTCTTCACTGAAGATCATTTCAAACTCCAAGGAGTGATTATCTATGAAGCACACTGTTGGACCTGACTTATAACTCATTAGAAAAGTTCAATGGACTAGTAAAGTCTGTGTTCTCTTGTTGGGATTTAGACCTCTTCTCACCATGTCATTACGCAATTCAAAAGCTTTGTCCAGTTCTCCAGCAATGCAACAACCATATATCAAAAGATTATAAGCCACCGTATCAGGCTTCAAACCACTGCTGATCATGGAATCCCAAATCCTCATTGCTCCAGGCAAATCACCTCTCCTACAAAATTCATAAATAACTGTCGAGAAACTAATACAATCTGGGGAGATGCCGTTATCTCTCATTTCAACTAATGTGTCAGTAGCTTTATGAATTTCACCCAATTTACAGAAGCCGCGAATAAGTATATTATAAGTGACAGCATTTGCAAGAAAGCCTTTAAGCATTGCATTATGCAGCTGCATAGCCTTCTCCATGTATCCTTCTCTTGTTAGGTGGTCAAGGAAGCAAGCATAAGTAAACTGGTTTGGCATCAAACCAGTAGCTAGCAACTCTTTGCACAAGATCTCTGCTCTATCAGCTAACCCAGCCTTACACAAACTATTTATCATCACTGTGTATGTCAGAACATTAGGAATGCTCCCTTCACCCATCATTATATCCCAACAGCCTAATGCCATTTTAAGATCACCATCTTTCCCATATGCATCGACCATACTGGTATATATTACATTGTCAGGCCTCAGACCATGGTCATGCATCTTCTTCAATATATTTATTACCTGTTTCTTATCATGTTTTAGAGCTCCATAAATAAGTATACCATAACATACGAGGTCCAAGTTCATTCCTCTTCCTGCCATCTCATTACTAGCACTTAATGCATCTTTTAGTCTTCCCTCCTTGCAAAGACCATAAAGAAGGGCAGAGAAGCACATCTCATTTAGTTTATGATTTTCTTTTTGAAGGTCATCCACAAACTTTTCCGCCTCAGATGTTCTACCTACAGAGCAAAGACCAGCTATCAGAGACCTATAGGTGTATGTATCAGGGACAAGACCCCTCTCCACCATCTCATTGAACAATTCAAAGGCCTTAGTCGTGTTTCCCCCTTTACAGTATCCTTCAATCATGACATTATAGGTAACTTCATTTGGAGTGACATTTACTCTCACCATCTCATCAAACAGTTCCCTTGCATCATCCAGCAAGTTTGCATGGCAAAGACCGGAGATAAGTGCAGTGAAGGTGTACGTATTTGGTGAAATTCCTTTGCCTGTCATCTCATGATAAAGTCTAAATGCCATGTGAACTTCCCCTTCTTTGCAGTATCCATCTATCAATGATGTATATGTCACAACAGTTGGAGTCATTCCTTTATCAAACATCTTGTTGAGCACAAAGTGTCCTGCATTAGGTTTTCCTGCCTTGCAATAACCGTTGATCAACGAGTTATAGGGATAGACAGATGGTTCCGCCCCAGAACCAAGCATATCATTGAAGACATCAACTGCTGCGTTCAATTTCCCACTTTTGCACAAAGTGTCAATGATAACGGAGTAAGTTATACCATTTGGTAACAGCCCATTCACTCTCATTCTCTCCCAAAGAAACACTGCCTCCTCCAACTTCCCATCTTTAGACAACGAGTTCATTAAATTAGTATAAACAATTAAACTTGGCACTGCCCCAACCTTCATCACCTGATCAACCAAGGAAAATGCAGCCATAATATCCCCAAATCTCCTTAGCCCATCAACCACAGTAGACAGAACACCATTGCTTGGAATAAAGCCCAAATCCAACATCTCATCCATCAATTTTCGAGCAACACCAAATTGATCCACTCTACAGAGCCCCAAAACCAGAGTTTGGTATGTGACAACATCAGCATTCAACCCCTTGCAACCCAACAAATTTTTCACCTCAACAGCCTCCTGTACTCTCCCACCCTTGCAAAGCCCATGAATCAATACATTATACATGTTGACATTCAATTCACAGCCACTCCTTTCAACCCACTTCACCATTTCCTCAGCTTTGTCAAAGTCCTTCAGCTCACACCAACTCTTAACCACAGCTGTGGACATGTAACAGTCAGGCTGGACACCCCAACCCACTACCTCATCAAACAAACTGAGAGCTATATTGTATCGCCTTATTCGAATCAGTCCACCAAAAACAGCACCTAAAGTCCTAAACTCAGCCATTAGTCTACATTCTCCCATAAGCCTCAGAATCAACACAGCATCCAATACTTTCCTATTCTGAACATAGCTCTGAATCAGCAAATCGAAACCCAAACTCGAAACAAAATTAAATCGTTTATACGAATTCAATAATTCCTCAAAAACTAATCTGGGATTCAATCCTCTTTGAAGAAGGGTCTGCAAGAGCGAACAAGCAGGCCAGAAATGATTGGACTGTACTAAGGCATGAACCAGAATGCAAAACGACGCAGTGGAATGATGAAAGTTCTTATGAAGCCCCAGAAAATTGAAGAAGCGCAGAGCTAACCTGGAGTCGTCTAGGGTATGAAGAAGCACCCGCTCGATGTGACGGGGTTTGAGTCGGGTCGAAAAGAAGGGATCATTGAGGGCAATATTCCAACTCTGCCTTCCCCTAACAATGCCGTTTAGGGTTCCTATGAAAGTTTCGTCATCGTCAATGTGGTTACGCTCTGCATTCTTGAAGGTACAGTTGGAGCGTACAATTGAAATGAACTTCCTTTCGGGTCCCAAATTCAATAAGGGCCGGCGCGGCCGAAGGGAAAGCTTCATCTTCCGGTATAAAAATGCATACAGATTGTGGGTTGAAGTATAACTAAACTCTAAACCTCTCGAAATTCAAGAAGAGTCGTGCGTGAGGGTTAGGGTTCAGACTGGGACTGAACTTAATGTCATGGCCCTGAGAGCTGGAGAAGGAGAAGAGAATGGGAGGAGTCTCGGATCAGAAGAGAAGGCTGCAAAAATGTTAAGTATAGGAAGTCACGGACCAAAACGTTGTCGTTTGAAGACGAGCAGTTACGCGGCGGTTATTGCTAATTCAAACGGTGTCGTATGAAGCGGCTGGAATAAGGTGGTTGGCCAGCTAATCCAAACGACGACGTATGAAGATGGGAGTTGAAGGCTGGTCTCAGAGCTCCTTTGCTGGGCTACAATGGTGAATAATGAAGAAAGATTTAGGGCCTTGCAAGAGAAGCAAGCTGAGTTTGAGGCAAGGTTGGAAGCAAGTAATCTTGAGCAGAATACAACGATCACTGCTGGGCAACAGAGAATAGAGGACTCTATCCTGGAGCTTAGAGCTCACATGGTGGAGTGGAAAGACGAGATTATTGAGCTGTTAAGGTTGAACAGACCACCCCCACCTTCCATGGACCAACCCTCAGTCCATGGACAACCCCCACCTCCTCAGCAGAGTCCAGGAGAAGGCAGTGTAGATCTAAGAAGAAGACCGGGAAAAGAGCCTGTTGATGGAGAACAAGTGGAGGTGGAAGAAGTCTCTGATGGAGATGATGGCTTGCCAGAACACCCTTTTGGTTACCATGGATTTCCTGGGAATGCAGCTAGGCAAGGACTGGCTAGGAGAGTACACTTTGGGGCAAGAGCTGGCCAAAACAACCCAGGGGGTGAGCAAGGAATGAGGTATAAACATGAATTTCCCTCTTTTGATTATGAGAATCCAAGACGGTGGGTAGTTAGGTGCGAGAGGTTTTTTATGTTAGCCAGAATCCCCAGGGATGAAACCATGCATGTTTTATGTGTAAACTTAACTGGCAAGGTGGCTATGTGGTATGAGGCATACTTAAATGGATTAAGGGAAGGGTTTCAATGGCCTAATTTTGCAAATGCAGTTGTAAAGAGATTCTGTGGGAGTAATATTGATGTAATGGAGGAGTTTTCTAATTTTAAACAGTGGGGGTAATGTAGTGGACTTTTCTGATAAGTTTGAGGAGTACAAAGGCTTATTAGTGCAGATCTACCCCTACTTGACTGATCAATATTTCCTGGATAGCTTTGTGGTGAGGTTAAAGCAACAACTTAGATGTTTTGTGAGAACATCTAAGCCTAATAGCTTGGAGGATGCCATTTGGTTGGACAGGCAATTTGAGAAGGGTTTGAAGGTGAATGATTCACAGAAGACCAGTTCCCAACCTACCCAAAAACCATCCTATGAACACAGCCACCCAACAGAACCTATAACCCTAGACAAAATGAACCAGCAAAAACCCAAAACAGCCAGAATATCACCAGATCTACAGCCTCAAACAATCTCCACTCCAATGCTAGATCACCTGAAATCAGTAAGTTCAGAGATCAACTTAAGGAGCAAAACAGATGTTTCAGATGTTTTGAGCCTTGGAACCCTGGTCATAGATGTAAAAGTCCCACTTTTAATATCATTGAAGGGGCTGATTTTCAAGAAAATGCAGAGGGAATGAGTGGGGACCAAGATGAGAATGTGGAATCCTTAGTAGAACCAGAAACAGAAGAAGTGGAGATTACTATGAATGCAGTGATTGGATGGGAAGGCCTAAACACTATTAAGTTGCTAGGCATCATTAATAGGCAGCAGGTTACCATACTGGTGGATAGTGGGAGCACACATAGCTTTGTGGACCCCAGGGTGCTTGATCAACTGAGGATTGTTCCTGACAAGGCTGAGACACTACAGGTTACAATGGCCAATGGGGAACAGATGGTTTGTGATCTAGTGTGTAAGGGGTTCAGATGGCAGATACAGAAAGAAGATTTTGAGAAGGATCTGAGAGTTCTTAAGTTAGGGGGTTGTGATATAGTCTTGGGAATGGACTGGATTGACTTCTTTGCATCAATCTAGTTGCATACTAGACCTCCAGGCATATCCTTCCACAAGGAAGGAAGAAAAGTGTTGTTAAAAGGCTTGACTAAGGACATTGTGTTACAGCAAGCTACCAAGAAAGAGGTCAGGAAATGGGTGAAAGAAGGAATACAAGGATATATGTTACAAGGGTTACTCCAAGAGATCAGAACCAAAGAACTAGCAGAATCTCACCCTCCAGAACTATATGAGATTCTGCAAGAATACCAGCAGTTGTTTGAGGAACCAAAAACTCTACCTCCTAAAAGACCATTTGATCATATGATACCCTTGCTACCAGGATCCAAACCAGTAAATTCAAAGCCCTACAGATATTCTTTTTTACAAAAGAACACCATTGAGAAAATGGTAGGGGAAATGCTGACAGCTGGAATTATTGCACATAGCACCTCTCCTTTTGCCTCTCCTGTTTTATTAGTGCCTAAGAAGGACAACTCATGGAGGTTTTGTGTGGACTACAGAGCCTTGAATGGCATAACCATAAAGAACAAATTTCCTATCCCACTCATAGAAGATCTGTTTTCAGAATTGGCCAAGGCTAAGGTGTTTTCTAAATTAGATCTAAGAGCTGGCTATCACCAAGTAAGGATGAAACAAGGGGAAGAATACAAGACAACATTTAGGACACACCAAGGACCGTATGAGTTTAAAGTCATGCCATTTGGGTTGACAAATGCCCCAGTTACTTTTCAGGCCCTTATGAATCATGTGTTTCAACCCTTAATCAGAAAAACAGTCCTTGTCTTTTTTGATGACATCCTTGTCTATAGCCCTTCATTTGAAAGTCATTGGGAGCATCTGAGGGAAGTTCTAAGGATAATGAAGTGCAATCAGTTGCTGGCTAAGTTGAGCAAATGCTCATTTGCTAAAAAAGAAGTGGAGTATTTGGGACATATCATCTTTGAAAAAGGCTTGCAGACTGATCCAGAGAAGTTAATTGCTGTGAGGGCTTGGCCAAAACCAGCTAATATCAGGGAGTTAAGGGGATTCCTTGGTCTAACAGGGTACTACAGGAGATTCATCAAGTCATATGGCACCATAAGTAGACCCTTAACTGACATGCTAAAGAAAGATGCATTCCAGTGGAGTTCAGAGTCTGAATATGCTTTTGATCAGCTTAAACAGGCTTTATGTTCAGCACCAGTATTGTCACTTCCTGATTTTAGTAAGGAGTTTGTGGTAGAAGCTGATGCTTGCCACAAAGGAATGGGGGCAGTCTTGATGCAAGAGGGAAAACCAGTAGCTTACTTTAGTAAGGGGTTTGGTCCTAAACACTTGGGGCTTTCTATTTATGAAAAAGAATATCTATCCATCATTAATGCCATAGATAAATGGAGGCCATATCTTTGTGGGGGGCATTTCATTATCAGAACTGATCATCAGAGTCTTCAATTCTTGTTAGAGCAGAAGATCACTACTGCAATGCAGCAGAAGGGCCTTACCAAATTGCTTGGGCTCAGCTATGAAATTCAGTATAAAAAGGGAAGAGAGAACTGTGTGGCTGATGCCTTATCTAGGAAAAGAGATGTGGCACAAGCTGAGCTAATGGCCATTACCATTGTCAGGCCATTATGGATTGAGGAGGTGCTCAAAAGCTATGAAGGGGATGAATTAGCTACCAAGGTGTTGACTGAATAGTTAGTGGTACCAGAAGCAGGATCAAAATTCACTGTTACTGAGGGTTTGATCAAGTACAAGGGAAGACTTTATGTTGGGGTTTCAGGAGATTTGAGAAGCAGGTTGTTAGCTCAGATGCATAAGTCTCCTATTGGGGGTCACTCAGGCCAGCAAGTAACATACCACAGGTTGAAACAATTGTTTTATTGGAGGGGAATGAAGAATGAAGTCATAACAGCAGTCAAGACATGTGAGGTGTGTCAGCAGTGCAAAGAGGAAAATGTGGCCTATCCTGGACTTTTACAACCCCTCAAAATTCCAGAACAGGCTTGGCAAAGTATATCAATGGACTTTGTTGAGGGACTTCCCATGTCAAATGGTAAGGAGGTAATAATGGTGGTAGTGGATAGATTTACCAAGTATGGACACTTCATAGCTCTCTCACACCCTTGCACAGCTGAAAAGGTGGCTGAGATTTTCATGGAAAACATCTACAAACTTCATGGAATTCCCCAGGATATTGTGAGTGATAGAGACAAAGTCTTCCTAAGCAAGTTTTGGCAATCCTTATTCAAACAACTGCAGGTGAAACTGAGCATGTCAACAACTTATCATCCTCAATCTGATGGTCAAACAGAAAGAGTCAATAGATGTCTGGAAACTTATCTAAGGTGTATGGTTTTTCATAAGCCAAAAGCATGGAGTAAGTGGCTTCACCTAGCAGAGCATTGGTACAACACTAACTACCACACTTCTCTACAATGCTATCCTTTCCAGGCTCTATATGGGTATTTACCCCCAGCTATAACCTTTGATGTGGTAACAGAAGGAGAAGGTAATGAGTGGTTTAAGGAAAGGGCCACCATGGTGGCCATCCTTAAAGAAAATTTACAGCAGGCTCAGGCAAGAATGAAGCAGCAAGCTGACAAAAATAGAAGTGAAAGAAGCTTTGAAGTTGGGGATTGGGTATATTTGAAGATACAACCCTACAAGCAAGTGTCATTAGCCATTAGGTCCAATGTTAAACTCACTGCCAGGTTCTATGGACCCTATATGGTCACAGCCAAGGTGGGAAAAGTAGCCTACAAGCTGCAGTTACCCCCTGGAACTACCATTCACCCAGTGTTTCATGTGTCACAATTGAAGAGAAGAGTGGGAGAAGGATTGAGTTCACAAGCCACCTTACCTCTTACTGATCAAGATGGGATGGTCCTGACACAACCCTTGGCAGCTCTGGGAAAGAGATTAATTAAGAAGAATAATAAGGCAGAAGTGGAAATTTAGTGCAATGGGCAAACTTGCCCAAGGAAGTAGCTACATGGGAGAACTACCATCACATCACAAGGCAGTTCCCAAATTTCGATCCTTGGGGACAAGGATCCACTGAAGGAGAGGGCAATGTCATGGCCCTAAGAGCTGGAGAAGGAGAAGAGAATGGGAGGAGTCTCGGATTAGAAGAGAAGGCTGCAAAAATGTTAAGTACGGGAAGTCAGGGACCAAAACGTTGCCGTTTGAAGACGAGTAGTTACGCGGCGGTTATTACTAATCCAAACGGTGTCGTATGAAGCGGCTGGAATGAGGTGGTTGGCCAGCTAATCCAAACGACGACGTATGAAGATGGGAGTTGAAGGCTGGTCACAGACGACGCCGTATCACCACGCCTGAGCTGGATTGTTCCCAGCGAGAAAATCGGAGTTTGTTAGGATATTTTGGGATGAATCCCAACTTTAAATTATTGTTTTTTGGAGATGTTTTTTATGTTGTTTTTGGTTTGAAGTTACAGAACCCTAATTCCTCTTTATCTAAAGTTTTCTATTCTTCTTCTTCATCTATTTCCTTATGCTATTTCCTTTCTGTTTTTGCTGCCTAAACCCAAGGGTTGTGACACTTAATGATGACTGAGACAGTGCCATTGCAGTTGGAAATGAGATTGCGATTTGCGAGGGAAAGGAAGGCATTGATGGACTGTGTGCTTGTACAAACATTTGGGAGGAGCAAGATACAGTTATACAGGACTGGTGCTTTGGAGCGGCGCCGTGTAACCAACTACTTAAGTTCAAAATTTGACCCAATATATCATACAGGACTCTTAAAACTTATATTGACGGGCTGTTTGGTTGTACCATTGGAAGGAAGGAATTAGGGGAAAAGAATTGTAATTCGATGGAAAAAAAATAAGGTGCGAATAAAATATAAATTCAAATTATAGTGTTTGGTATGTAGGTGGGAATAAAGTAGGAATTCAAATTACAGTGTTTGGTATGCAGGAATAAGGCAGGGAATTGAGAGGGAATAAGTGATACAATGACTGAAATACCCTTATGTAATGATGAGAACTGATTGTATTGTATTAACAGAACCTAATTACAATGAGATCAGATGATGTGAATACATACAATAGAGAGTCACAGTGTGACAAAGATAAGAAGTAGAGAGTCACAGTGTGATAAGGATAAGAAGTTCTAAACAGACTCAGATACGTAGAGTCCTAATACTCCCCCTCAAGCACAGTGTATACTAGTAACCTGTAGCTTGTCCTTTAGAAAGAAAATCTAGGTCCAGGCAGAGCTTTGGTGAAGATATCAGCAAGTTGATCCTTTGTGGAGATGAAGTTGACTTGGATATCGCCCGAAGCTACTCGATCACGAACAAAATGATAATCAATCTCCACATGCTTGGCGCACATGAAAGATTGGGTTGGCACTCATATATGTAGCTCCTAGATTATCACACCATAATTTTGGAATGGAAATACCCGAAATCTGTATCTCACGCAGTAATGACATAATCCATAGAACCTCAGCACAAACATCTGCAAGAGCTTTTTATTCAGCCTCAGTGGATGACCTGGCAACAGTTCTATGTTTCTTGCAAACTCAGGATATAAGATTACTCCCCAAGAAAACAGCAAAACCACTCGTGGATTTTCGATCCTCAGGACAACCAACCCAATCAAAATCAGAGAAGGCATGAATATCTCTAGATGAGCACCGTCGTATGCGTAAACCATGATCAACTGTTCCCTTAACATACCTGAGTACTCGTTTGAGCTGCTCCTAGTGTGACATGGTGGGAGCATGCATATGTTGACATAACTTATTAACTGTAAAGGATAGGTCAGGTCGTGTGACAGTGAGATATTGCAGTGCTCCAGCTAGACTCATGTACTGTGTGGGATCATCATATAGATCTGAATTGGAGGGGACAGTTTTCGAGACAGCTATAGGTGTAGAAAGGGGTTTGCATTCAGACATTCCGACCCGTTTTAAAATATCATTCATATACCGTTGTTGAGATAAAATAATCCCATTGTCACTCTTAACTGTTTCAATACCCAGAAAGAAATTCGATTCACCAAGATCTCTGATTTTGAATGTAGCAGATAGTTTGGACAAGAGCTGAGACATAATACCGTGATCACTTCCCATTACAAGAATGTCATCCACGTACACCAATAGATAAACCAAAGCAGAGTCTTTAGAGTAATAGAACAGAGAGACATCTGTCTTGGATACTTGAAAGCCAACTGACAGTAAGAACGTATGTAGTCGATTAAACCAGGCTCTGGGAGCTTGTTTTAACCCATACAAAGATATTTTTAACAAACAAACATGATTCGGGAAGTTAGCATCAATATAACCAGGGAGTTGCTTCATATAAACTGTTTCAGCCAGATTACCATTTAGAAAAGCATTATGAACATCTAGCTGTTTGATAGACCACCCAGATGATAAAGCTAGAGATATAAGGAGTCTTACAGTCGTAGGCTTTACCACTGGACTAAATGTGTCGAAGAAATCCTGGCCTGGAACCTGAGTAAAACCTTTCGCAACCAGCTTGCCTTTATGCCTTTCAATAGCACCATCAACCTTTCTTTTCGTACGAAACACCCATTTACAGCCAATAATATTCATACCTGCAGTGGGTGGACCATGTGTGGTTATGCAGGAGAGCATTGAATTCTTGGTCTATGGCTTCACGCCACTCAGGATATTTGACAGCTTGAGAGTGACATGTGGGTTCTGTGGGATGCACCTGAGCTGCTAGAGCAAAAAGAGGAGCATCTGTGTTGCTGCGAGTGGCCATAGAGTGAGTACGGACATTGGGCCTGATGGACTGCTCACGTGGACGGCCTCGCCGGCGAGCAACGGGCTCCACAGGATCACCCGACGAGGCAGCCTGTCTGGGATCCACGGCTGGTTCGAATGAAGCTGGTAGCGGCAGTTCTGGCGGCTCATCATTGGACATGGCAGGAATATGTGTGCTGTGACTGTGAACAGATTCTGCCCAAGGTCCAGAAAACGGAGTAGATAGATCTTGCAAAGAAGTTTTAGTAGCAAAGGGGAAAACTTTTTCATCAAATCTGACATGCCTGCATGTGTAAATCTTATTAGTATGTAAGTCCATGCATCTGTACCCCCTAAAGGACTCAGGATAACCTAGGAAGACACATGGAGAAGACCTGTATGACATCTTATGACGATTATATGGTCGAAAATGAGGGTAGCATAAGCACCCAAAGACACGAAGAAAAAGATAGGAAGGAGGGGATTTATGTAATAGGAGATGGGGACTGGAGTTATTTAATACCGAAGATGGCATTCTGTTAATTAAATAAACAGCAGTCTCAAAGGCAAAATCCCAAAATTTCAAAGGAATAGAGGCATGAGCTAGAAGAGCCAGACCAATTTCAACAATGTGACGATGTTTTCGTTCAACACGACCATTCTGTTCACGTGAATAGGTACATGATTGTCTATGTTGAATTCCTAACTGAACAAACGAGGAATGATTTTTTTTGTATTCAGCACCTAAATCAGACTGAATGGATTTTATTTTGCAATTAAAGGACCTTTCAACAAGAGTACGAAATTTATCAAAGATGACATAAAGGTCAGACTTTAATTTCATAGGAAACAACCATGTATAACGGGAATAGTCATCCACAAAGATTACAAAGTAACGAAAGCCAGAAGTAGATAAAATAGGCGCAGGCCCCAAATGTCTGTGTAAATAAGATCTAGCACATGAGAACTAGAGGAAGCAACACGGGAGGGGAGGGGGGGGGGGGGGGGACAGGCAGATTTACCCAATTGACATGCATTGCATAAAGAATTATTACAACGAATAATATCACGAGATCCACTAACTAAACAAGACCGAAGTATATGGCTAAGAACACGGCTATGGGGATGACCCAGACGATTGTGCCAAGTGGAAGCCGAGACACGAGCGGAAAGAAACACTGAAGGGGACGAACTTGAAACAGGAAAAGTGTATAGCCCACCCGAACTACTACCACGTAGGATGTAACACCCCCTAATTTCCATGCTAATTAAAGCATTAAACATGCAGATATCTAGACAAAACATCAAACACAGCGGAAGACTGAAAAAAGATTATATAAACTGGAAACGAAAGGGGTGATATGCCACGCTCACCCAGAGGTGAACGCATAGGCTAATATCTGCATAATTCATAAGCTAAAAACCATACATGTCCAAAGTACTAAAATCTATCCTTGGCACGCAGGCCATAACAACACAAGATGGGAGCTACACTAGCAGGCTCTAGACCGCGCTCACGTCTAAACATCACCTGAAAGAAACACATAAAAGATGGGACGACGTCCGGTAAGCGAATAATGCTGGTAACCCACCAATACATGTGAAATATCATACATAGATAAGATATACATTTGTAAAATCATTTGCGAAACGGAATATGTATATATAAGTTCCAAAACCGAGAGCAGAAGTCAACACAAGACTCTAAGCACTCACAATCAACAATACGGGAACACATCCCAAGACACAAGATATAATAACGACTCACAAGAACGGCTCAAGGCATAATTTACCATTACACAGTAGATTAACACCCGACATGCATAACACAAGAGAATAAGGACACAACCAATGGCAACACATGCCTTTGTGACTACACACGTCACAAGAAGAGAACTCACAACAACGGCTACACAAGCCTTCGTGACATCACCCATCACGAATTGATATGCCTTCCTTATGCCCGGTTCCAACATTATGGCTACCCTCAACCTTATGTCTAGTTCCAACCATTACCTCCAGGACCCCTGTACTTCTTAGTCCAACCTTTTCCCTCCTGGGACCGTCGTCCCCCACCAACAAACCACCAACAAGACCACCAATTCATAGTACACAAGGTACCGATCACACACACGGCGACACACGCCTCCCAAGAAATACGTGAACCCGACACACAGGTCACAAACTCCATAATCGCGTCATGGCCACCACGAGGACCACTGCCGTACCTTGGTGACTAGTGTACCATACCACTAATCGTGCAATCCAGCACTACTACAGAAAACAGTTTTAACGTCACCATTTTAACGTCGGATTTTATAAAATTCGACGTTAAATATTTAAAATTATTTATTATTTTTTTAAAAATACATAAGACGTCGGTTATATCAAATAACCGATGTCGTACATATTCGAAATTAAAAAAAAAAGAGTAAAATATTTACGACGTCGGCCGACATTATTGGCCGAAGTCGTAATCCAATTAAAAATAAATAAATAAAATTTAAATAACATACGACGTCGGTTAATTAGTTAGAGACGTTGTATGCCATTTAAATAAAAAAAAATTAAAATAAGATACGGCGTCGGCTAGTTAATTAGCCGACGCCGTATTCTATTTAAATAATAAAAAAAACAAAATGTATTTATAATACATACGGCGTCGGCTAGTTACTTAGCCGACGCCGTATACTCAATTTAAAAAAAAGTAATAATAATTTATTTACGGTATCGGCTTTTTAAATAGCCGATGCCGTATATACTTATTCTAAAAAAAAATAAAAATAATTAACTTACGGCGTCGGCGTTTTAAAAAGCCGACGCCGTATATACTTTATATAAAAAAAATAAAAATATATAATTAATGTACGGCGTCGGCTATAACAAAAAGCCGACGCCGTATGTTCGTTTCTTTATTTAATATTCGAGATACTTCTTCATCTTCATCTTCACCGCGCATTTCTTAT